AAAAAAAAAAAAAAAAAAAAAAAGAATGTGTAGCTCCAAGATCTCCTGTTTCTCTTAGCATCAGAAACCTAGCTCGACTGTTGGTTTAGTTCCTCCACAAACCAAATGTGTGCCTTGGCGAGTCATTTAACTTCTCCGGGCCTCATTTTCCACATCTCTAAAATGGGTATGTTGGGCTAGATGATGTGTTAGTCCCCTCCAGCTCTAATACCTAGACTTTGAACCCCTTGAGGGACATCACCTCTGTGTCCCCAGCATTTAGCAGAGGGCCTGGCCCAGAGTGGCACCAGGTGACATCTGTTGAGCTATATCTCTCCTGATGGAGCCCCAGCTCCCAGCTCCACATGCAATTGCCCTTTCCAAGTGTCTGCATTTTAAAACCTCCCATCACCCCTATGGTTCAAAGTTCAAATGTACTATAATTTCTCCATTTTGGTATTTTTAATTGTTCCTATTAAAAAATGCTTCTAGTCCTAGCTGGTTTGGCTCAGTGGATAGAGCATCAGCCTGTGGACTGAAGGGTCCCGGGTTCAATTCTCATTAAGGGCACATGTCCAGGTGGTGGGCTCAATCCCCAGTAGGGGGTGTGCAGTGGGCAGCCAATCAGTGATTCTCTCTCATTATTGATGTTTCTATCTCTCCCTCTCCCTTCCTCTCTGAAATCAATAAAAATTTATTTAAAAAAATGCTTCTATATGTCTCTCTTTAAAAAAAATAATGTTTTTATTGATTACTAGAGACCCAGTGCATGAATTTGTGCACAGGTGGGGTCCCTTGGCCTGGCCGGCGACCGAGGCCTATCCGAGGGCCGGCCAGCTGGGGGAGGGTCGGCAGGAGGTTGACTGTGGGAGCGCACTGACCACCAGGGGGAAGCTTCTGCGTTGAGTGTCTGCCCCCTGCATGTCATAGTGACTGGTCGGCCGGTTGTTCCGGTTTGGTCGTAACAGTGGCTTAGGCTTTTATATATATAGATAAGAGAGAGAGGAAGGAAGAGGGATAGAGAGGTAAAAACATCGATGAGAGAGGAACATCATCGATAGGCTGCCTCCTGCATGCCCCCTACTGGGGGTGGAGCCTGCAACCCAGGCATGTGCCCTGACCAGGAATTGAACTGGCAACGTCTTGGTTCCTGGGTCAGTGCTCCACCATTGAGCCACACTGGCCAGGCTATATGTCTCTTAATGGACTAAATTTTCTCTTGTGTATATATCCAGATATGGAATTTTTGGAACATGAGGTGTGCACAAATTGCTCTCAAAAGTTGTTTTATGAATTAACATTCCCACCAGCCGTGACAGCTACCCTTTCCCCATTTCCTTTTTAAAATTTGAGTTTGTCATAGTTTCAAAATTCTATTAATTGGCTAATATTTTAATTTTTCATGGTGGAAATTTTCAAGTATTTACACAATAGAAGAGAAAATAGTATAATGAACTTCTATGCTCCTATCATCACCTTCACAATTATCAACTCCTTTCCAATTTTGTTCCCTTTATATTCCACCACCCATTATTTTTAACCAAATTTCATATATCATGCCATTTTATCTGTAAGTATTTTAGTAGATATCTCTAAAAGATAAGAATTCCCTTTTTTAAACATAACCCCAGTACATCATGAAACACCTCCAACTGTCAGCAATAATCCCTTAACATTATCAAATTTTTGGTCACATTTCTCCAATTATCCTATAATTTTTATCTTTTTATATTTGAGTTAGGATTTGAAAAAGTCCATACATTGTGATTGGTCAGTATTTCTTAAGTGTCTTTTAATCTATCCCCTTCATCGTTCTCTTTCTCTCTTTTTACAATCTTGCCATTCATTTGTTAAAGAAATCAGGTTGGTTTTCCTGTTAGGCTTCCCCCCAGTTTGGCTTTGCTTGTTTCATCCCTGTGATGTAATTTCATGTGCTCCTCAGTCCCTGCATTTCCTGTAAATTGGTAGGGAGATCAAACTATGGTCCTTGGGCCAAATCCAGTCCCACCCTTTTTTGTAAATAGGATTTTATTGGAACACAGCTATGCCCATTTGTTTAACTATTGTCTGTGGCTGCTTTTTTGGTGCTACAACACCAAGTTGAATAGTTGCAACAGAGACTGGATAGCCTGTGAAGTTTAAAATATTTATTACCTGGCTGTTAGTGAGAAAGTTTGTCAACTGCTGCTCTCAAGGCTTGATCAGATTCCCACTTGATTTGTGGGACGTGATTTCTTCCTAGGAGGTGGTGTTTAATTCCATCAAGAGGCCCATTATGTCTAATTCTTTCTCCTTTTGTAATATTGTCAGTTAGATCAGCCATTTCATAAGGAGTTGCAAAATGGTGATATTCCGAGTCAAAATGGTGATATTCTGAGTCAGTCCTTCATTCCGTTTCATGTAATTTGTTGGAATGCTTATGCAAATAGCAGCTTCCTCTCATCTACTATTTGGTTGCCTGAGGCACAGTTTTTACAGGAAAAATAATAAACGCTCAATTGTTTCCCTTTATTACCAGTTTTCAAAATAATAAGTTGATTTCCTAATACCTTCCAAGATGATCACTGAGGTTTTTGTTTATTTTCATTACTGCTGGGATTTTTTTTAAAATAGTTTATTTATTTTAGAGACAAAGGGAGAGGGAGAGAGACAGAGAAACATTGATAGACTGCCTCCAGCACACCTCCCACCAGGGATCGAGCCCAAAACCCAGGCATCTGCCCTGACCAGGAATCAAACCTTTCATCATACAGGAAGATGCCCAACCAACTGAGCTACACTGGCTAGGGCTACTGCTGGAATTTTAAATACTATATTCTGTTGTTTGGGATTTTGTTCTTCAGTGTGATAAACTCTTAAAACCCTTACCCTCTGTGAGTTTATACATGTCTACAGAGTTGAGAAGTATGAGGTTACGGCATTGTAGGCTCATGGGATGATTGTTGGGTTGGTATGTCAGTGAGCTCCAGATTTCGGTCTCCCTCCCTAATATATGAAGATAAAGAAAGGAAGGGGATGGGGGAGGTAGAAGAAGGTAAAGGGGGGATAAATGGTGATGGAAGGAGACTTGGAGTGGTGAACACACAATACAATATACAGATGATGGATTATAGAATTGTACACCTGAAACCTATATAGAATTTTATTAACCAATATCATCCCAATATATTCAATTTTTTTTAAAAAAAGGAAGGGGAAATTTGCAAGAGGGGATCTTGAGCAAGTCAATTCATCTCTCTGAATCACTTCCTTATATATTAAAAAAAGGGGTGCTGGGCCCTGGACGGGGTGGCTCTGTTGATTGGGCATCATCTCACACCCAAGAGGTTGCCAGTTATATTGCCTGTTAGATTGCCTGGGTTGCAGGCTCCATCCCCAGTAGGCATTCCCAGTAGGGGACGTGCAGGAGGCAGGCGATCACCATTACCCTCTCACATAGATGTTTCTCCCCCCACCCCACCCCCCATTCCTCTCTAAAAATCAATAATAATATTTAAATAAATAAATAAATCAGGGGTTCAGGGACTAGACTACACTGTAGCCACAGCAGCTTGCTTTCTGTTCTTCCAATACACCCGCCCCAGGGCCTTTGTACTTGCAGTTCTCAGTACCTAAAACACTTCTTCCAATGATTAGTTCCTTATCATAATTCAAGTCTCAGCTTCAGGATCACCTCTTCAGACAGAACCTCCCAGACCACATAATCTAAAATAGTCACCACCACCCTGATCACTTTGTCATATCAGCCTATTTCATTTTTTCATGGTGCCTATCTAATCTGATTACTTGTTTATGTCTATCTCCCCTCTCTCCAGAGTGCAAACTCAATAAGAGTAGGGTCTTTGACTTTCTTGTTCACTGATGTATCCCTGGAAACTAAAATAGGCCTGGCACATAACAGTTGCTGAATAACAATGCCTGCTGAATGAAAGAATTTCTGCTACCAGCAGTTCTCAACCTGTGGGTCGCAACCTCTTTGGCGGTCGAACGACCCTTTCACAGGGATCGCCTAAGACCATCCTGAATATCAGATATTTACATTATGATTCATAACAGTAGCAATATTACAGTTATGAAGTAGCAACGAAAATAATTTTATGGTTGAGTCACAACATGAGGAACTGTATTTAAAGGCCCAGAAGGTTGAGAACCACTGTGCTAAACGAATGGATGAGATAATCTCCAAAGTCCTTTTTTTGATCGGAGTCCAACAAGATCCCGTGAGTGTAGACTCACATACAAGCATGACTGTACACTTTACAGATGTGGAAACTGAGTCGTGAGTGACAGCCAAGGGCTTCACAGAGAGGAAGGTGGTGTGGTCCAGTAGCACTCTTTGGGAAGTCAAAAGCAGGAGACTCGGTTTCGGATCCTCACACCATCCTACTCTGCCCACCTTCCTTCCTAGAGCTGTGTGAACTGGACAAGTCGTTTCACCCCTCCAAGGATGCCCGGCCAATGTGGCTCAGTGGTTGAGCATCGCCCCATGAACCGGGAGGTCATAATTCGATTCCTGGTCAGGGCACATGCCCAGGTTGCGGGCTCAATTCCCAGTGTGGGGCATGCAGAAGGCAGCCAATCAATGATTCTCTCTCATCATTGATGTGTCTATCTCTCTCTCCCTCTCCTTTCCTCTGATATCTATAAAAAAATTTTTTTTGTAAAAAGCACACAGTTTCTCCATCCCAAAGAAAAGGTATACTAATAACTCTGGTCTAGAGTTCCTGTGAGATAGTGAAGCTTTGTGAACTGAACAGCATTAGGCACTGTGCAGAATGTTTTGCCTTTTCTTTACTCCCAGATTGTCCCTGGAGGTGGGGGTGAGGAAGGAAGCTCAGGACCCGGCATGGAGGAGGGGAGAGCCAGCAGGTTGCCATGGTTTGTTTACTCACCTGAGTCCCCGGCCTCCCCCTAGCCTAGCTGCTCTCACCTGCTCAGGTAAAGAGGTAGGGGGAGCTTGGCTCAGCCAATGAACTGCGATCATTCTCTTAAAGGCACCCAGCAGCTGGCAAGAAAACCAGCCATGCAACCTAGAGAGCTCCCTGGATGCCAGGAGGCAGCTGTGCAAGCTTCGGTAACTCAGCCCTCCATGGCCACACTGTGACCCCAAGGGCCAGGTCACTCCGGGCATGAGAGGGTGCTTGCTCAGAGAGGCCTTCACCTCACCCAGAGCTGCCCCTCCAGGAGGCCTCAGGCCTAGCTGCCCTGGCAGACACCCAGGGAGGAAAGACAACGTGGCCTTGGCAGCTGCCCGCCAGGAAGGAGCCCACAGGTGCCAGGGAGAAGACGCTTCCAGGTCCTGGCCCCCTCAGCAGCCCTGGTGAGTCTTGATGCTCTGGCTTCTGGAACCTCAGCATAGCAGGGTGCGGTGGGCAGATCCTCTCCCGGAGGGGGAGGGGGCAGACACTCTGGGTGCTGGTTCCAGCCCTGCTGTGTCACTCCAGCTCTCAGCCTCGTGTTCCCCACCTGGGGAACAAGCTCAAACTTCCACGTCAGCTTTCCCTTTTATTATTTTCCCTTGTCACACCCCCTTGTTCTGAAAGATTTTTGTCTGCCAAGCTGTACCTGTTATGTAATTAGTCATTAATTGGTTTTTCCCCTTGTATGTTAATTGGAGCCTTATGATAGCCAATCAGTGGTTTCTGGTCATCAGGAGCAAACCATGGTAATACTACAGAGCTGATGTAGGTTTAACCAAAAGCAAAGAAATGTGGTGTTTTAGTCTGTGTGTGAGATCTTATCTAGAGTCAATATTTGGTTTTCATTTGGCCTTCTGAAATATGAGAAATAGAGCACTTGTGGGTAATTTCCAGATTATGGGGACTCTAGGTCGGGGAACCCTACATCTAGCTTGCATGGTTTATGGGGGCACTGGGCAGAAATACTTCCTTCACACCCCAAACCCAGGTTTGGTCTCTACAATGCTGCCTCACATATGAGATGTATTCTTGAAAGTGGAAGCCTTTGACCTGAAAACTTTCTATGTGGGGCTGGACTGCTCCCAGGAGTCCCCACACAGGATTCCTCCCACCTCTGACTGAGGCTGGGACCTGGGTGGGGGATCTGCTGTCTCCCTCAGGCCTCTGCTGGAGAGTGGCGGCCAGGGGTGATGGGAATAGGTAGGTGTGAGTGCAGGGCCTGGAAGCCAGGAGTATATGGTGGACACAGCTTGTGCTGGGAATCAGGAGATGGGACTTGACCTCAGGCAAGTTGCCTAACCTCTTTTTTTTTTTTTTAATATATTTTTTATTGATTTTTTACAGAGAGGAAGGGAGAAGGATAGAGAGTTAGAAATATCAATGAGAGAGAGAAACATCGATCAGCTGCCTCCTGCACACCCCCCACTGGGGATGTGCCCGAAACCAAGGTACATGCCCTTGACCGGAATCGAACCTGGGACCCTTCAGTCCACAGGCCAACGCTCTATCCACTGAGCCAAACTGGTTAGGGCTGCCTAACCTCTTTGACCCTCAGTTTTCCCAGCTGTGAAAGAGGGGTGGTGTAATTTTGGCAATGCTTTCCTACCAAAATTATTCTTAGGGCCAAATAAATAGTGTATTTCATGGAAGCTTAGATTCTACAGATTTTAAGATGCATCCAGATTAAAAAATGTTTTAAATTCACAAACATGCATTTTAGAATCGATGAAACAGAGTAATGGATGGTAAATGTGACCTCCATGATAAAGAATTATTCTGATTCTGATGGAATCATGGCTGCTTAGTAAATTATTTTACTTTTTGAAATATCATTTCTTGGGACGTTTTGAAATGTAGACTCATATAAACAGAAAGCAGGGGAAACAGCTCCCTGAGTAGTGGTATTTCCTAATGATTCCTTGAACTGAAACCCAGGCCTGGAATGCGGCCCTGATGCATGAGGCAGTATAATAGATGCTTAAAGCATGCATTTTAGAGTCAGACCCACTGGTCACCTTGGGTGTAAGTCACTTTTCTGTTTCAATCTCTTCCAAATTCTACAGTAGGATGGGGGGGTGGGGGAAATATCAAAAGTGCTGGCTGCCTGGTAGCCCTTGTTGTTAAGTTGTTAAGCATAGGACAGGAACTCAGAACCCACCTGCACGTTCCGCTAGAGACTCCCAGATCTTGGAGACTGGAGTGGGCTGGATAAACCGATTCAGAGCAAGACACCTGGGTCAGTTTCCTCCCCATGTGTAAAATGGGGCCCCTCACACCCCTGCCACCATCTGGGGCAGCAGGAGGCTCCAGGGCGACGTTGGACGAGTAAGTGCTTTGGAATCAGTGCTGTTCCCCAAGTACATGAAGCTGATGCCCCTTGCTTCCAAGGGCCAGTCGAGGTACCCAGCACCTTTCGTTCAGTCATTTGAACTCCCCCGGCACCCCCACCCCCCGTTTTTTCCTCCCCAGCAGCTCCCTGCTGAGCACATCAATTTCAGGGAAGACTGGTTCCCAGGACTGTGACAGTGAGCCCCCTTCCCACCCAGTGGGGCTGTGGGAAAATGAAATGGAATAAGAATTAGAACAGAAGTTTCCCAGGAACAGAAGAGGCAGCCACTCTTGCCCAGGGCTTTGGGCACATGGTGTGTGTGTGCATGTGCGCAGGGGCTAACAAAATTAAAGTTGAAAAATTCTAATTCTGTAAAGACCCCCGGGAGGCCATGTTAGCCAGCCCTCTTCTCTGGGGGAGGCCTCTCTTCTAACCAACACTAGCAGGTTGCAGCTGTATCCTAGGGGAGCCTCTTAAACATCTTTCCTTGGTAACCAGCCTTGGCATCTCAAAAGTCTCCCAAGGGTGTGGCAGGGTGTGTGAGAGCATGTTTGAGGGCGTCGGGTGTCTGAGTTCCATGGACATGGAGTACCCACAGCTTAGAGAAAAATAAGTTTGAGATGGATGGACTATGGATTATTCCTCCAACCACCATGAAGCTTAGAGGCTGTTTGGTGGAGGAACTAGATTTATTGAGAACCTACTATGGGCTAATGATTCTGCTAAGTGTTGTAAATTCATGACTTCATTGAATCACCACAGTAGCCCATTATATTATTCCCATTTTCCAGATGGGAGCACTGAGGCTTAGAGAGACTACAAATCTTGAATAAGATTGCTCAGTTAACAAGTGGCTGAAATGGGATTCAGATCTTTATGTCTAAATCCAGAGCCTGGGCTCTTACCAATCCCACCAGAAGTTGCAAATCAAGCCAAATGCTAAAGTCTCCAGATACGTTTTCTTTGGCCTACATAGTGTTTTAACAGTTTAAAAATTTAGATGCTGACATTTAAAATTTTGACATTTGAAAATGGAATTTTTAATATAAAAATCTAGATTCTGACTTCTCTTTAAAAACCAGAAGGAAGGTGTGGGTCCATCTTCTCATGTGCCAACAATCAACTTGAACTGATTATAAGCTGTTGCCTTTAAATGGGACATGTAACCTCTAGTTTGCCACAGTCCCCATCATTCCCTACTATTTCCTACCCAGCCCACTTTCTGTTTATACCAGCCTGGCCCTGAGGGCCTGTGGAGACCTGGACCCTGGTCCTAATACTGGCTTACACTGGCTGTGACTTTAGGTAAGGGATGGCACCTTTCCTGGCTTTAGCTGTAACCTGGAGTAGTTAGCACTCTGAAATAGCTTCCCTAGAGACTTTCTGGGCTGCTTGGGGGAGAAGCCACAGTCTCCAGCACGTCCTCATCTTGGCCACCTGGCTGTGTGTGATCAGAGTCTGTGTGAATGACACTAGGAGTTGGCCAGTGCTATCTGTTAAATGGCAGACCCTCACTCTGTCACCATCATTCCACTCCACTGTATGTCTGATGTTCCTTGGGACACAAAACGCTTGGGGACAGGTTGGGCCTGGTGTGAGGCCCATTCCCAACACTTTGATCAGAGTCTGACTTCCATGTGCCTCTGTTCATCCTTCCAGAATGCTGATTGAGGTTTCAGCATCTGAGGGTCCTATTCTGACCTCATTTTTGCTGTAGGTGCAAGAGAGAAAATCTACAGCCCAGCTGAGAATGTTCTCTCTTTCTCTGTTACACACATATACACACGCTCATGCATACGTCCACATGCAAGCATATGGCTCAGAAATAGCCATGTTTTATAGGTCTTCCCATCTACCTAGTGTCTTAATTGGGTTTCTGAGATCAGATATTTAGAGCCATGGAATTGTAGAGACGGAAATGCAGATGGTGCCTTAGATGTAGATCATTTAGTTCAATAATAGCAAGTACATTTCACTTTATTTGCAATTCCAATCAATTGGTAGAGTGTTTAAAAGGCTTCTGAAGTTACAAAGGGCATGGAATGATCATACGCTGAGCTCTATCATCGATGTCTACCGAGGACATGGCAAGGAATTGTAACAGTACTCATGCCAAAAATTATACAGAAATGAAAAATGGTCTGGGAATGGGAGATGACTTGTCCAGAGTCACTCAGCAAGGCAAGGCAGAGTAAGATCCAGAAGCAGGGTCTCTCTTGACCTTGAAGCCACTGGTGCTTCACTATATTAGCCCAGAGAAGGAAACTGAGAATGGGAAGAGAAATGACAGAAGCAAGACCAGGACCCAGGAGTCCTGGCTCCCCTAAGAAGCCTGGCTGGGCTTGGGCTAAGGAATTCTGTTGGGCCCCAGTAGGCTGAGCCCTGCCAGCCTAGCCTGTTGGCTTCTGCTCCACTTCTTAGAATCCCTTTGCTCCTGCCCCAGTTTCCTGTCTCATTTTCCTCGGGCTCAGAGAGTGCACATCGGAGCATGGGGCCCCAGGGATTCTAGGCCCTACATACCCTCTTTTAGGCAGGCTTCAGCAAGCTCCCAGCCCCCTCTGTTCTGAAAGAGAAGTCCTAGAACAGGGGATCTTAACCTTATTGATGTCATGGACTCCTCTGGCAATCTGGTGAAGCCAGTGGACCCCTTCTGAGTATATTTTTAAATGCATAAAATAAAATATATAGGACTACAAAGGAAGCCAATCACGTCAAAATAGTTATCAAGATTAAAAAAAAATTTTTTTAATCCTCACCCAAGGAGTATATTTTTTCCATTGACTTTTAGAGAGAGTAAGAGGGAGGATGGAGGGGAAGAGAGAAACATCTATGTGAGATAGACACTGCGATTGGTTGACTCCCACTCTTGCCCTGACAGGACCAGGGGTCAAATCTGCAACCAAGATACATGCCCTTGACTGGAAATTGAACCCGTGACCTTTTGCCCCAAGGGCCTATGCTCTAACCACTGAGAAAATTGTCCAGGGCTCAAGATTTTTAAAAAATGTTTATGATAGACTAATATATACCTTCTTTATTAATAAATTTGAAGATATCTGTCAGCAGGTAGAA